AACAGCTCCAGAGCCGCGTGACGCACCTTCCTCTTACTGTCCACCAGAGCTGGGGCCGCCTGCACACACACACACACATATCAGGAGATTCAATACACAGGGCAAAATGATGCTGTTCTTCTTTCGAGTGTTTGTCTTGTTTCTAGTCGAGCAGCAAAGAAAAGTCCTTATGAATGTCTCTCCTTTTACTCCACCCTGAAACCCCAGCTGGCCTCTCTCAGGTAATCAGCTGGTAAAAAAGGCCGGCCGCTGGCTCCGAAGAAGCCCCGCTTTGGTCTGATCAGACCCCGGAAGTGACAGTAGAAACCTGACTGACCCTGGCTTACTCACTTTAGGCGTGATATTGGAAACGTGGCTGTTGGAGCGAGATGCTAATGGTCTAATCCGATTCAATGACTTATGCTAAGCTAAGCTAAAAGTCCTCCAGCCAGACAAAATAAAAAATCACTCAAAAAGATTCATGTTGTTTTGAAGTAGGGCGAGGCAGTGGCGCAGTAGGTACTGCTGTCGCCTCACAGCAAGAAGGTCGCTGGTTCGAGCCTCAGCTCAGTTGGTGTTTCTGTGTGGAGTTTGCATGTTCTCCCTGCGTTCATGTGGGTTTCCTCCGGGTGCTCCGGTTTCCCCCACAGTCCAAACACATGCAGTACAGGTGAATTGGGTAGGCTAAATTGTCCGTAGTGTATGAGTGTGTGTGTGTGTGCATGTGTGTGTGGATGTTTCCCAGAGATGGGTTGCGGCTGGAAAGGCATCCGCTGCGTAAATACTTGCCGGATAAGTTGCCGGTTCATTCCGCTGTGGCGACCCCAGATTAATAAAGAGACTAAGCCGACAAGAAAATGAATGGATCAATGAATGTTTTGAAGTAATCTTATTTGCAGAACAGGTCAATATCAAGACAGTGCAGTATATTTGGGAACACTTTACTTGAAGGGGTGTTCATAAAACTGTCATGAGCATGCAACAACCTTTCCACCTACCAGGTCTTCATTAAGTGACCTGATGAAAACCCTGTAGGTCAAAACCTTGTCCGATTAAAATGTCTTTTGAGAGCTGAAGTGGCAGTGTGCTGAGTCTGTTGACTATATCTATAGGCTTATGAACACCCCATCAAGTAAAGGGTTACCATATACCAGGGGTGGGGAACCTTTTTCTATCAAGGGCATTTACATATTAGTAACATCGTTTAGGGGCCATACTAAATTATAGGGCTGCTCGATTATGGGAAATTCAAAACCAATATCAGTTAGAGTCAAAATCATTCCCCTCCTGTGAATTTAGTTTTTTATATATAAATATTTCCCGAATAATGTTTAACAGAGGAGTTTTTCACAGTATTTCCTATAATGTTTGTTCTTCTGGAGAAAATCTTATTTGTTTTATTTCGGCTAGAATAAAAGCTGTTTTTAATATTTTGAAACCCATTTTAAGGTCAACATTATTAGTCCCCTTAAGCTATATATATGTTTGATTGTCTGCAGAAGACACTACTGTTATACAATGACTTGCCTAATTACACTAATTAAGCTTTTGAATGTCACTTTAAGCTGAATACTAGTGTCTAGAAAAATATCTAGTCTAATATAATGAAGCAAAGATAAAAGAAATCAGTTATTAGAGTTATTAAATCTGTTATGTTTAAAAGTGGGTTGAAAATAAATCTTTCCATTAAACAGAAATTGGGGGGAAAGGGTCTAATAATTCAGGAGGGCAAATAAATCAGATTTTATATATGCACGGTTAATTTCCTCCCTGTAAATAAGGAAAGGGAAATAAATATAATAAAAATATGAAACAAATTGTGCTTTAAGCATCTTTACTGTAAGAAAAACACTTCAGCTCCAGCAGTCCTTCAGTCAGGAGCAGTGAGGGATTTTCTCCTTTTGTTGTTTGATTATTGATAAAAGCAGTCGGCAGCAGGAATATTGCACTGTCACTTTAAAAATAATGCGGCTCTGATATGGTTTCTTTTTCACGTGTCTTTTGATTCTCAACTTGTTAGTTTATTACACAAATGAGGGTTAATATGAATAATCACTAAACACCGCGCTCTGACACAGGTGTGCATGTATTTGACCAGTAAAGCGCTCACATTACAATGGTGTAATTCATGCCATGCGGTCTCGTTTGCGCTATTAAAAATATTAATGATTCGAATGTTCATCAATGAATGATACGCATCCTGTGCTGCAAACGTATTACAACACAAGCTTTTAGTCATGACTGTGTTTGTCCACCAGATGCCACTGTAGTTCGCCAGCAACCCCCCAGCGGACTACAGTGGCTTTAGAACTACATTTCCATACATTCTTTCGCACACACACCCGGTCTGTCATCTACACTGATTTACAAGCACAGCTGTCTCCGTTCTCCGTTGATTACCTGGACTATATATTCAGTCATTCATCCTCTGTTTGTCAGATGGTCGTTGTCGTCTTTGGTATGTTGTTCCTGATCCTTGCTCTTGTATCTATTAGTCTAGTTCCAGTTTAATCTGTCTTAGTTTCTTGTTTTGTTTGTTTGTTTGCTATTTTGTTACTCTGTACTTTGTATTTTTGTCACTTTCACTGCGCTATACATCAATTAAACTGCACTTGGATTCTACACCTGTTTCTGTTCCTGTTCTTGATCACCATAACTTGACACTTTTAGTCATTTTCATGTGAAGCTGAGCTTTGCAGAGCAACACATGTGTACTACTGTCACTTTCTATAACAGAAATGTATTTATTTATTTTAATGAGGGGTGATTTTGAATTGACTGATGGGGCCGGATCAAAAGGTCTCGCGGGCCGCATACGGCCCAGAGGCCGGACATTCCCCACCCCTGCCATGTACAGTTGAAGTGTACACCCTTCTGTGAATATTTCTTCTTCTTCTTCAAATATTTCCCAAATCATTCAGGTAACAGATTGAGGAATGCAGAAAGCCTTATTTGTTTTATTTGGGCTAGAATAAAAGCAGTGTTTAATAGTGTTAAAGTCATGTTAAGGTCAATATTATTCACCCCTTCAGCAATATTAGTGTTGGATTGTCTCCAGAACAAACCACTGTTATACAATGACTTGCCTAATTACCCTAACTTTACCCTAATTACCCTAGTGAAGCCTTTACATGTCACTGTAAGCTGAACACTAGTGTCTTGAAGAAGATCTAGTCTAATATGATGTGTGAAGAGAAGAGAACCTACCTCCAGACACAGGCTGGGGATGTCGAAGTCCTTGCGCGGGTGTGTGAGCATGGCGGCGGTGATGATGTTGATGGCGTCCTCTCGAACCCTGGAGTTCCTGTGGCGCAGCTGAGAGAGCAGCAGATCTAACACACGCTGCGGCCCGACGGCTCGCATCAGCTGCTGAAACACGCTCATGTACTCCTGCCGTGCGACGCTCCGCGAGTCCCCCAGCGCCCGCACCGTCACCGCCGCGATCTCCTTATAGTAGCGCTCCACCTCCACACCCAGCTTCTGCACCAACAGGCTGAGGAGCTGC